AATAAATAAGATGCAATTTCTACAGCCATTATGAAGGTAGAATTAAAGGTAAAGTGTGCCACCAAGTCACAATCAACTCATGGTAACCCCACGAAGTTTCCCCTCATGGGGTTTTCAAGGAAAGTGATGAGCAGGGGTGGTTTGCCATGGCCTTCCTCTCCATAGCACCCCCAGTCTTCCTTGGTGGTCTCCCATCCAAATAGTGACTCTAATTAGCTTCCACACTTTGATGAGATCAGACTGGTCTGGATTGTTATGGCTTCTACAAGGCCACACAATATGGTGCATAATATAATCAATTCCCCACAAAGCCAAACACAGGCTACCAGTCATATAGGAGTTCCACTTGGGGCTCAATATCCCTCCAATTTCAGAGAATTGTCAACCCTGTCTGGCTGCATGCAGGGCCGGCTCGAGGTGCTTCTGCGCCCTAGGCAGGCGCAGAAATTCTGTAACAGGTCTGAGGATTAACTGGCATTTTGCCAGTTACATTAAAGGCTTCAGAGTCTGCTGCTTTCTTGCCTTCTTTCATACATAGTGTACGATTTTCCTTTTATGTGCCCTTCCTTGAAGCTAGGTGATTAAATATTTACATCAGTCACTTAATTCAGATCCATCTTTAATGTCCTCCTGGGGCAGTTCGTAGTAGATCACGGAAGAAATGAAACTCATTAATCATCTGTGTTATGTAAGCTCCATCAGCGTTCTAGCACTGATTGCAGCTGTGTCATTCTTACTTTTTTTCATTCAGCAGCCCATTACTAAGTGCTCTGCAAAAAGAACAAACCTCACTTAATAGGTCTTCTAATAGCAGAACAGAGCATATCGAGGATCAGAGGCTAATGCTTGAACAGAAAAGCTGTCTGCGTGGCCTGTTTTGTTGAATTACAGTTATGTAAAATCTGTAGCTGTAGTCATAACTATTACTTACTCATTCTATTGCACAAGTGAACTCTCTCTCTCCCCACTTCTGTAGATATACAACTTGCTGCATCATGACATTGTGTGATCCACATTGCTTCACACTGATGCCTGCAGTGGCTGATGTTATCGAGTGAAGTAGAAGAAACACAGGTTGCAACCAACGGGAAATTTCCACTGATGGAAAGGGGGTTAGATGAGTGCCTTCTGATAATATACTAAAAACACAGTATCTGCCCTTTTCACAATCCTTCTAGGATATTTTTAGCTCCAAAGTGGTTAGACCCTTTTAAAGTTTATAGCACCCTGAATCTGGGGAAGGGAGGGAATTAAGATTAGGGCGTACAAGTGGGGGGCCATGAGAGTGGGAGCTGAATCTCATCTCACCCCCACTCTTTCGCTGAGCACAGCATGGCCCCAGGCTCTCCAGCAGCTGCCACTGGACCCACCCAGCACAGCCCTTGGACTCTCTGGCAACTGTTGCTGAGCCTGGTGCGGTTCCCAGGCTATTTTGTCACTGCTTCAGCCCCGGGCTCGTCAGCAGCTGCTGCCTGGCACGGTCCAGCTCCTGGGCTACTTCACTGCTGCCCTGCCCCCTGGGCTCTCTAGCAGCTGCCACCATTAGGCCTGCCATGGCTCCCAGGTACCACCATAGTGAGGTTAGGTTTAACCCTCCCGTGTAGTTTTTTAAACATTTCAGGATTTTTGCAAAGCTGGAGAATGCCCCAATTTTGCTGGAAAAATCTGTTTAGCCTCCACGTGGCTCTGATCTGCAGATTTAGCTATCTGCGGATGGGGCCCATGGGTGGCTATTAGTATATAGACAAGTGGGGACTCACAACAAACTTGCAGGGAGGGTGCATACCATTCTCCCGACTTTGCCTCCTTCCCTTCATCCTTCTCAAATAATCTTCCACCTCTATATTTCTCCCCCCCGCCTAGCGGGTGAGCCGGCCCTGGCTGCATGGTTGGTAGACTGTGCAGGATGTACAATGCTAATGAGCTGGATCATTCAGACCTTTCCATGGAACGGATTTGTATGTTTTTTATTTCCATCAATCTGATTATCATCAGAATTTTTCATCTATATGCCATGAGGCAAGATAGTAATCTATGTTCATTCAATGCACTTTTGTGGCTCTAAATACAGCAATCAATTCTGTAACAGGTCTGAGGATTAACTGGCATTTTGCCAGTTACATTAAAGGCTTCAGAGTCTGCTGCTTTCTTGCCTTCTTTCATACATAGTGTACGATTTTCCTTTTATGTGCCCTTCCTTGAAGCTAGGTGATTAAATATTTACATCAGTCACTTAATTCAGATCCATCTTTAATGTCCTCCTGGGGCAGTTCGTAGTAGATCACGGAAGAAATGAAACTCATTAATCATCTGTGTTATGTAAGCTCCATCAGCGTTCTAGCACTGATTGCAGCTGTGTCATTCTTACTTTTTTTCATTCAGCAGCCCATTACTAAGTGCTCTGCAAGAAGAACAAACCTCACTTAACAGGTCCACTAATACCAGAACAGAGCATATCGAGGATCAGAGGCTAATGTTTGAACAGAAAAGCTGTCTGCGTGGCCTGTTTTGTTGAATTACAGTTATATAAAATCTGTAGCTGTAGTCATAACTATTACTTACTCATTCTATTGCACAAGTGAACTCTCTCTCTCCCCACCTCTGTAGATATACAACTTGCTGCATCATGACATTGTGTGATCCACACTGATGCCTGCAGTGGCTGATGTTATCGAGTGAAGGAGAAGAAACACAGGTTGCAACCAACCGGAAATTTCCACTGATGGAAAGGGGGTTACTCTGGATGACTGCTTTCTGTATCTGCCCTTTTCACAATCCCTCTAGGGTATTTTTAGCTCCAAAGTGGTTAGACCCCTTTAAAGTTTATAGCACCCTGAATCTGGGGAAGGGAGGGAATTAAGATTAGGACGTACAAGTGGGGGGCCCATGAGAGTTGTGGGAGCTGAATCTCATCTCACCCCCACTCTTTCGCTGAGCACAGCATGGCCCCAGGCTCTCCAGCAGCTGCCACTGGACCCACCCAGCACAGCCCTTGGACTCTCTGGCAACTGTTGCTGAGCCTGGTGCGGTTCCCAGGCTATTTTGTCACTGCTTCAGCCCCGGGCTCGTCAGCAGCTGCTGCCTGGCACGGACCAGCTCCTGGGCTACTTCATTGCTGCCCTGGCCCCTGGGCTCTCCAGCAGCTGCCACCACCAGGCCTGCCATGGCTGCCAGGTACCACCATAGTGATGTTAGGTTTAACCCTCCTGTGTATTTTTTTAAACATTTCAGGATTTTTGCAAACCTGGAGAATTCCCCCAAGTTTGCTGGAAAAATCTGTTTAGCCTCCACGTGGCTCTGATCTGCAGATTTAGCTATCTGCGGATGGGGCCCATGGGTGGCTATTAGTATATAGACAAGTGGGGACTCACAACAAACTTGCAGGGAGGGTGCATACCATTCTCCCGACTTTGCCTCCTTCCCTTCATCCTTCTCAAATAATCTTCCACCTCTATATTTCTCCCCCCCTCCTTCCCTGACAGTTTACCCCCTCTCTTTCCCCGTACTCTCTTCTGTAAATGTTCCCCCATCTCTTTCTCCCCCCCCCCTTCTCTTCTGTCAATGTTTCCCCCATCTCTTTCTCCCCCCCCAATTACTTTGTCCTCTTCAGCTACAATCTGATCTATTAATTTTTTTAAAAAAGGACAGGTAAGCAAGTGGGTGAGGGCCCTCCTTTTCGTCCTCATCTCTGTAGCTGCTGACTCAGCTGTCCTTTTAAAACTTTCTCCTGGCTTCTAATTGGGCAGACTGTGAGGAAAAGCAGTGCAAGAGCTGGGAGGGAGGGGAGCAAAGGATTCTCCTCATGCCCCAACCCCTGCCTGCAGGGCTGCTTCTCCCTGAAGTCTAGCAGATTAGAAGCTGGGAGAAAGTTTTAAAAGGACAGCTGAGCCAGCAGCTACAGAGATAAGGATGATAAGGAGCCTCTTCACCCATGCACACCTTTCTGCAGTCATTGCCAGCCGCCGCCACCCCCCATACACACAGAACAGCAGTGGCAGCTCTCCCAGCTGCCAGCCCATTTCTTCCTCCCCCCAAAGCAGTGGCGGTGGGGGCTCTCCCTGCCATCTACCTGCCTGCTACTTACCCATTTGGGGGTGGTATTCACCCCCCCCCTGGATTTTTAAAATGTTTTTAGATTTTTCTGCAAACCAGGGGGGTTTCTCCAGGTTTGGAGAAAATGTTCCTGTTTCTCAGTGTGGGCCTGATCCACAGATCTGACCAACCTTGAGAAATAGATATATTAATGTACCACAGGATACACACGCAACCATAATTTAATTATTTATTTATTTAGTTTCTCCCTTGCCTCAGAATTTATTTATTTAATTTCTCCCTTGCCTCAGAATAGTCTAAATTGCCCTCCCTCCTTCCTCTTTCCATTTTCCTCCAACTGACATTCAAATGCCTTTAACATTCCATGGCTTCTGGAAGGCATTTAATTAAAAAATAATAATAGAAGAAACCCTTGTCTTGTTGGCAGGTGGCCCTTTTGTAAATAATAACACCACTTTCTCAGTTCTAGGCTGTCCACTGTTGGAGAGCAGTTTTTAACAATTACTCGAGTATTTTGACATTTTAGTTGTATAATTGAGTTTTATTCTGAATGTAATGTTTTAAATCATAAGTACTCTTTGGTGTAGTGGTTAAGTGCGCGGACTCTAATCTGGGAGAACTGGGTTTGATTCCCCACTCCTCCACTTGCACCTGCTGATGTGACCTTGGGTCAGTCACAAGCTCTGGCACAGCTGTCCTTGAAAAAGAGCAGTTTGTGTCAGAGTTCTCTCAGCCCCACCCACCTCACAGGGTGTCTGTTGTGGGGAGGGGAAGGGAAAGGAGTTTGTAAGCCGCTCTGAGACTCCAAGTGAAGGGTGGGGTATAAATCCAATCTCTTCTTCTTCTTCTTCTTCTTTTAATGGTATTTTGTAATGTAAGGGCCAATGTCCATATACAATAAAATCTTACACACATTCTAGAGAATATATCTAAGCAAAGAAACTCACCCAAGAATGGATCACTGTATTCTGTATTAGACAACTTGAGTAAATTGTTTTCCAGTGTTTCCATCACTTTGGCTGGAAAGAAAATGTCCATGAAAGTCATTAGTTTATGTTACAAACACCCTGCCTATTTTGTTTGTATCTTTTAAAAAGTATCATGTCTATAAATGAAAGTTGAGATGTACACGTTCATATTTTTTGTTTCATAGGGCTTTACATTTTTCTATTTTTATAGTTATTAGTCATTATTTATTCCTTTTCTTCATTTCTATGGGTTTTAGTTCTTACATGCACAACAGGCAGTAAAAATTGTAAGCCCATTAATATGAGTAATAGTGTGTACAACTGATAACGGGGAGTTCTACTGGTTCATGTAGAAAGCAGAGGGTTTGGGCTCTTTTTGAAACAAAACAAAGCACACAACTGTGTGAAGATAAACCCTATCTCTTCCCATGCTTTACCTTCCTGTGCTCTGTAACCTGGAGCACTTTCTTTTAGCCAATTTCCAATACTGAAAGTCAGCTGGGCTAAGAGAAATCACAGTTAGGCAAGGGAAGGAAAAAGAAGAGGAGGAGGAGTTGGATTTATACTCCGGTCTTCTCTTCACTGCCTGAAGGAGTGTCAGAGCAGCTTACGTTCACTTTCCTTTCCTCTCCCCACACCCTGTGTGCTGTCTTGGCTAGCTGCCACAGAGACCACACACTGGAAGCTTGTAAACACAGTCCAGAATTAAGGTCAGTCAAAGCCAAAAGTCAAAGAGCTAGGAAGTCAATTCAAGGTTTTCGTATATGTGCTACCAAAGTGAGCACGGGAAGTCAATTCAAGGTTGCAAGGACAAGGAGCGGCTGCTACACACACGCAGGAGCAGGTCTGAGTGAGCAAAGTTGCTACTGCATTGAACCAGGTGCACTGAGTACTTTTGAGGTCCTTCCTACCCTGGGGTTGAGTCTACAAAGGCTTACAGCTCTTCCCTCTGCCTCTGCAGGAGCTGGAGTCTGGCATTCCTTCTTCGCTCCTGCATAGTCAGCCTTTGGCGTGCCCTACGTCTGAGGCACTCAGGAGAACTAGGCAAGGAGTCTGGCCTTGGGGTGTCTGCAACTGGTGGTGCTGGGCCAGGCTCAGGATCGGCCTCTCCTTCTGGCTGCACCTCCTGTGCAGCTGCTGGGGACTCCTCCTCCTCAGGTACTGTTGAGGGTTCTTCTTCTGGGTTGACTCCAGAGGAGGCTGGGCTGCTCCCTGCCTCTTCCTTATCTGAGGAGTAGTCAGCCTCAGCAGACCTAGTACCCATGATACCCTGTGTGGTAGGTTGGGCTGAGAGAGTTCTGTGAGAACTGTGACTAACCCAATCTCACCCAGCTGACTTCATGCGGAGGAGTGGGGAATCAAACCTGGTTCTCCACATTAGAGTCTGCTGCTCATAACCACTACACCAAGCTGGCTCCCAGTGACATAAGGCAAGGGAAGGAACAGGGTTTAGCTCTTCTCACCAGGCACTCCCTGCTTGTTTAAAAACAGACATCCCCACTCCCCACTCTTCCAAACACTCTTCCACAGGTAAACAGGATGTCATCTATCTTTTATTTTTATTTGCATGAACAACAGCAGCAAGAATGACAGCTTTTCTTAGAAAACAGCAGAGCTACTGGAATGAAATATACTGCAAGGTCTCTTTATAAAAAACTACTGATCTCTCACATAGGGAGATGGAGAGGTAAACACTCACCTCGTTCTGACACAACATCGATAGTTGTCGTCGACGCTCCTGCACTCACAGGCTGAGGCTGTACTCGATTTGGCTGAAGGAATGAGGAATGCTTGCTGAGACTGTGAGGGTGTGTTTGGCTTTGAGCAAGGCATGGCAAGGATCGTCTGGAAGGCTTTAAAGGGGGCTCTTTTACGGTCTCACTCTTGCTAGTATTCATGCCTAGGATACAAAAAAAGAGATGAAAAGATATTAATTGATGGGTTAAGTATAACGGGTGTCTTGTAAGCCAACACTTCTTACTTCTTCCCCCATTTGTGTGAGAATTCCCATCTCTTTTTCCTAGATCCCTCTAACCATAGATTTCCAAGACATCACAGGCAAATTATAGTTAATGGCGAAACACTAATCAGGATTACCTCCAAACTATAGTTTGCAAGCCAACTTCAAACCATGACTTCAAATAATGATTTGTAAACAATTCCCAGTAAGCCTCAGCCATCATTTATTTGATTCAAGCATCACCGTTAAAGGAAATAAGAAAAAAAAGAAATGTATCTTCAGGGGAAGGAGGAGAAGGAGGAGAAGGAGGAGAAGGAGAAGAAGGAGAAGGAGAAGGAGAAAAAGCAGCAGAAGCAGCAGCAGCAGCTACAAATAAGGTACCCAAAGTAGAAATTTGCAAATTCTCCTCTTGAAAATGTAATTAACACTTCAAAACAATATAACTGTGTCTACCAGATGGTAAAAAGGAAAACAAAACAGGGAACAACATTATACACTTGTGTTTCAGTGACAGACAGGAATCTTTAGTCTCATAATCACCATTCAGAGATAAAGGCTGTACCTGAATTTATTCAATGATAAAGGCTATCCTTTCTCAGGGAGCAGGGAAGGGGACGAGGAAGGAGCATGAAAGTCTATCCCATCTCACCACCTGGCCCCTGCTTCCACTCCCCCCCCAATCAATACCTGTTACAAGTTGGAAATTGATGGTGAGTTCTCTTTCCTTGCCAGGTGATGGGATGGCTAGGAACTGAAAGCATACAAACTTTCACGTTCAAGTCTCTCCTGATATGCAGGCTGGTGGAGTTACATGGATTGTCTAGTAACCCCCAAATGGTTTCCAAGATCTCACAATGTAGTATCATGAGATAGCTACTGGAATATTGTCTTCTTCAGCTGGGGGAGGGGATTGTTTGTTGGTTAGTTTGCTTTGCTTTCTGATTTTTCTGCAAAACTTAAGAATTCCCCCTTGTGCTGATTTGTTGTTGTTGTTCTGTGCAGTGGGGTCAGAAAACAGTTTTCACATGGTTCTCAACATTTGCTTTTTAAAGGTTGCTTTAAAATTCTTTGTGGATGTGTTCCTTGAAGAAGGGTACTAAGCAAATTGATCAACTTCCCACCACAAACAGAAGAGGTCCTTGAACATACAGCTGGAAAGGCTGGTCTTTCAAAATGATATTTTCCAAAATGTGCTGCTTGCTATGATTTTCTTTTCTGTTTACTGACCTAGCAAAGGGAAAAAACTGCCAGATGATTTAGTGGCCATTATTTTGACTCAATGGTTAGTTTTTAAGAAACTGAAATGCACTTAGAAATTCAAAATTGTTCAATCAGATGGCTTTGTGCCAGTCCAGTTAACAGTAATTTACTTTCTAAACTACTAAATCATATTTCAGTTCAAGTTGTCAGCTGAAGTAGCAATTGTTTTGACAAATGATACCATGGAATTATTTCCAGTGAACAGATACAGACTGATTCCTAGAAAATAGTCCTCCTGTTATTGATTCTCATAGGATCATCATAGTTTCAATGAATCCTTCTTATTCAGAGTTTCACGGGCTCATGGAAGTTTTCATACCATAACCAGATTATTTGGAGATATAGGCCGGGCTGTCACCAGTACGTGGATGACATTCAACTCTACCTGCTAATGGATGACATTCAACTCTACCCAGGATGACATTCAACTCTACCCAGACTCTGCCTCAAAACATCTGGACAGGGTGTTACAGGTCATGGTTGGTTGGTTACAGTAGAGCAGACTGAAGTTGAATCCATCAAAGACAGAGGTCCTGCACCTGGGCTGTGGGGGGCTGGGGTTGGGCATTGGGTTCACAGGCTTTGGCAGGACCCATTTGGTGCCGGTGTCAAAGGTAAAGAGCCTGGGAGTGTTCCTGGATACCTCATTGTCTGTGGAGGCCCAGGTCACTGCCACAGCCAGATAAGCCCTTTTCCATCCAAGGCAGGTCAGGCAGTTGGTCCCATATCTCGCCCCTCGTGACCTGGCTGCAGTGATCAATGCAATGGTCACTTCCAGGCTAGATTATTGTAGTTCTCTCTATGTGGGGCTGCCCTTGACTCTGCTCCAGATATTGCAGCTGATGCAGAACACAGCAGCATGGGTACTGATGTCACTCCCTGTGCAGGCGCACATCCGTTGGTGCTGCATGAACTACACTGGCTGCCTATTGAATAGTGGATCCATTTCAAGGTGCTGGTTCTTACTTTTAAAGCCCTATATGGCCAGGGGCCTGCATATCTTCAAGACCACCTCTCCTCATATGAGCCCCGGAGGGCATTGGGCTCTTTGAAACAACATCTGCTGATTTCCCCTGGCCCTAGAGATCTTGTCTCAACTAGGGCTAGGGCTTTTTCAGCCGTGGCCCCTGCCAGGTGGAATGAACTCCCATCTCTAATTAGGGCCCTGCTTTTAGAGTTTCACAGGGCCTGCAAGATGGAGCTCTTCCACCAGACCTTCAGCTGAGGCAGCGGGGATCCAGTTCAGTCTGACCTCCCCCTTCCTTCTTCTAATGAGTCATTGTTATATGTCCGTTGAGGTATAATTTATTTTAAAATATATTAGTGTTTTACTTATTTTATTGTATTTGTTTTATGTATTTTGTTATTCTGGTTTTATGATGTAAATCTGCACTCAGCAGATTATCATAGATTGGAACCTGCCCTGAGTCTGCATTGTGGGGAGGACGGGATAGAAATAGAAGGAAATAAATAAATAATAGCTCCAGCTTTGGGATTCCCTCCAACTCAACATTTAATTAGGAAGAATTAAAATCTACTGTACTAAAGGAACCCTGACAACCTTTTGGAACATAGACTTTCCAGTCCAGTAGGGGCATGACACTACTGATAAACATATGAAGCTCCCTTAGGCAAGGCTTTCTCCATTGCTTTGGTGATGGGGACAATGTGGAGCTCCTTTAATGTATATGAATGGAAAAGTCTACTTCTCATCAGAATCAGAATTTAAATCAAAAGTGTTCAAACGTGGTGTTACCCATGCAGTCCCTTAAGTCTACCGTGGACTGCGGAAGTTACTGTTACTTAATCAATATGATTGTCCACTGGTTGTAATAATCAAATAAAGTCAGCTGTGGCATGTCTTTAATTACATTAATCTTTACTGCCTGTGTACTGCAGAATTATCCAATTCCCGAAATTGTTGAGATCATCCGGTTAATGATAACGGCAAACTGAATGTGAGACAAGATTCTCCATCAGTGTGATTAGAATTCATTACATAACATAACATGTTAATGAGTCTTCCATTCAAGCAGTTTCATTAATTTTAGATTAGCTGTCTTAACTAGCATGTAGATTATAATTGTTTACTTATAACTATGAGTAGCTATGTATAAAACATTTTCCACTTTCTTCACTAGCTAGGCAACATCCTATGATGTTTGCATCCTAGTTTCAATGATATGGGGAGAAGCCAGGAACTCTGATGAGACATTTTGACCCAAGCTTAAGTCTGAAGGATGTGAGAAGAAATGCTGTTAGGCTCAGTGGCTTCTGTTAGAGAGGAGAATCTATGGATCCAATGCCGTGGGATTTAGCTTTCTCCTGGCAGTCTGAAGACTATCTGAAGCTGTCTGTTTTAGGGAAGAATCCACATCATGGCTGTGATTTGTGTTGGGTGGGTCCTGGAAATCTCCCAGTATTACAATTGATTTCCATACTACAGAGATCAGTTCCTCTGGAGAAAATGGCTGCTTTGGAAGGTGTACTTGGTAGCATTATAACTCACTGAAGTAACTCCATGAGAGGTTTTTACATTTATTTTTAAAATACCATGGGAAAGGTGCATATCCTTGTGGGCTGCCATGTCACCCTTTAAAATAAATAAAGTGCAGGCATAAAATGGGCTAAGGTCAAATCTGCATTTGCATTTTTAAATCAGTTTCATGCTGCTGTGATGCTGTATTTCTCTAGACTTGTTTCAATGTTGTTTGGAGAAGATTCTTTTAAAGCAGTGCAGAGGTGCAATGACAGTGGAGCCACCCCAAAAGGCCGATAAACATATATGGGGCAAAAGTGTGCTAGCACTGTTGAGGTGTGAAAACGACACCAAATGTAGAAAGCTCTTTTGAAGACGGAGTCAAAAGGCTGGGACACCTGTGAGAAAGACAAATGCAGATTCAGCCTAAGTTGGAATCTGCTTGCAATATGGTCGAGTCAGTTGTAAGGTATATAGCCATCATTACCAATGGGTGGTGCTCCTTCACATCTTGGTTCTGTATTGGTTTTAGTTGTTGCCAGGGCTCTAGTCGGGGGGGAGCTCTCAGGTACGGAGCTCCGGAAGAGAACCTCTAGGGGGCGGGGCGGTCACGTGGTGAAGCCCCGCCCCCTTCTTTACCCCGCCCTCTGCTTCGATCCTCATTCCGTTTGGGAATGAGGATGAAGCAGGAGGGTAAGTAGCCGGGCCTTCTGACACACTTCCGGTGATGTCAGGGGGTGTGGCCTTCTGTCACTTCCGGTGATGTCAGGGGGCGTGGCATATGCAAATACGTTATGCTAATGAGTTATGCTAATGAGCTCCGGCAGCTCTTTTTCTACAACAAGACCCCTGGTTGTTGCTCTGTGTTCTGTGGAAGGTGACTATTTATTTGTAGTGACTGTTTTTAAGATCTGTGCTGGTTGCTGTTCTAGAGACCAACTTTGAAAACCTTTCATTAAAGTTTGTTCCTCAACAAGTGTGTTGCAACCGGTAACAGGCAGGAACTTCAAAATGGCAAAAGCTTTATTGCCTGAGAAGAAATTTACCGGTCACTCAGAAGGGCCTTGAATCAGTAAATACCTGGCTAACCCTGACCTTCTGGTCTTTGTGGATAAGTGGAGTGATCAGAAGGCAGCATAGTACCCGGCAATGTTTTTAGAAGGGGATGCCAAGGCATTTCATCTGCAGCTTCCCTGTGC